AAAAGTTTTTTCGATGTAGGGCGAAGGAGGTTCATGGAGTTAAGATTTAAAATTTTGTGTTGGGTATTAGAGAAATAAGTTTTTGACGAAAACGTTAAAAGCCGTAACGAGCAAAAAAATGACATCATTTAGGCCAAGACAATAGTCTATTTTATTAAATTCAAAACATATAAATATGACAACTGTTCCCGCATTTTTTTCGTAACACCAACGCAGAGGGAGAACATTCCTCTCGGGCCATTTCGGCACAAGATAAAATTCAAGCTTACGAATGTGCACGCACATTCAAACTATGCTTCGCATTCGGTGCTAATTTTGATGCTTCGAACGAATATGTATATGATTGATGTCGTGTGATTTATGACACCAGAATATCATTGCGCAATAATAATAATTCTAATCTGTATTTCACGAAACTCACTGTTACGTTTTCGTTTAAATTTGTTATTTATGAAAATTATAACCTAAAATCATACTCTTTTTATACAAAACATTATTTACAGTGTGTTGCAAAAAAAACCGGAAAATTACTGTTGTCAAAAAACTTTTTATAATATTACTCAAATAAATTTTCAAACAAAGCTTTGCTTTTTAAAATCATTTTAAATCATTTTCTAACTGAATCTGGCAATTAGCTGTTGAGTAATTTGCTTTTAAAATTCTCAATATGGTTGAATTTTACTTGCTTTTTTGCAATTATGTTATTAGAATAAATGAAATACATTTACCTGATAAATATACCAGATTGCTAACACACACCATTCTCAAATAACCATTTCAATATTAATAAGTTGTATGAAACGGGCGATGTGGCTTATAGGAGAGTTGATTGTTCGAAGAAACGGAATCACCTTTATTATTATTATTATCATGCATAGATTTCTTGGTAATAAATTATAAATAATACGATAGAAGTTAAAATTTAAAGATGTGAGACGATTCATCAGAGAAAAGTGGGATTCAACTCCTTTTGATAAAAAATTAAGATGTCTACCTGTAATTAAAATCAATAGTGAAAATATTTCGTATTAAAATATATTCAATAAAAGCTCTGCTCTTAACCTATCGAATAGAAATATTCTCTATATGAATTAATGCAGTGGTTATTCCATGATGATTAATTTGATTTTTCCGGTTTTTTTTTGCAACACACTGTATATGAAAAAAAATGGTTTCCATGATCTCATATAACTTCTAACTTAAAAACACCAAATTTTATAATATATATATTAATGAATTTTTGTTAAATTAGATATCATTCATTCCTTGTTAAGATTAATGATAAATCACAGACGTATCATAAACCTTTAATTTCCTAGATGATTGAATTGAATAAAGCAAACACATAAGTTTAGGTTGTATTTATTTACAATATGTTTTCAGTACATTTTTTTTATATTTTCATAAAAAAGTAACTATTACTTTTATTATTTTTGAGAGGATAATGTTTTCAAAAAGTCAATCATATCTTGAGAGAATAAAAATGGAACGGTTGATAAATCAAGATTAATAATTACATCAGTTCTTTTTAATCGAATGTCCTTGTGATTTCTTTTTCAACTTTTGGAAATTGAAAATTGTACCTTGTATGTAATCAGTTTCAATGAGATTATGAACCTTATTATAATGTGCATGAAGTGAATTATTGTTTGATTTTGCTATAAGTCATCATTGCTTTTTGTATAGAACATGTCCAAATTAGTGGTTTTCAAGTTTTTTTTTATACTTACTATGGTTGATTTCTCCATTAAAACTTAATGCTGAAGAGAAAAACACAAATATTCCAGGGAAATTTGTAGCAACGATACCATCTGGGCCTGCAAACCGAGTAGGAAGGAGAACAATTGAAGGCTTATCTGTCTTTAGAAAATCAACAACTTTATCTTCTTCAGCAGTGATATTTGACTGATCAATTATACTATTAAATGGAAGGATTTTAAGATCAAATGTAAATCATGATGGAAGAGTGACGCCTTATAACAAATTAGTTTTTTGAAGTATCTCGAAAATTGATTGATCATTCCAAGTTTTCAGAACTGACATAATATAAAAATCCATTATGCTTCCTTTTGCAGCATTTGATAAAATTTTATTACTAAGAAGGCTCTTCATATAATTTCCAAAGATTGGATAACCATTTTTCTCAAAGAAATGTATTCCAGCAATACAGATCCAAGGTTCATTTATTACACAACAGTGATTCATTCTGATATGCTGGAACAAAATTTTCCTTACTTCTATCTTCATTACTTGATGTGCTTGATACAGATGTTGATGACTTATAATACATAGCTTGTGGACCTAACTCCATATGATTATCTTGTTCATCAAAATCAAGATTTTCTGTAAGTTTATAGATTTCTTCATTATCTATAACTTCATAATCTACATCAACTACTTGACAAAATCCTTTCTTAAGAAATTGAATTTCATTTTTTGATGTAAAAAACATGATGCAATCTAATAAAGTACAATGTAAGAAAATAATATATATATAATATCTTATTTTAATGGTTGACATACCATCTTTTCTAATGTATGTATCAAAGATACTGAGTAACCTGAACCAATATGAATATTTGACTGTAATGAATATGAAGAGAAAAAGGAGTTGGAAGAAGCATTAGAGGAGGAGACATCTGAATGTCATTTAGAGGCTCTTGAAGTAGCTAAACAGTGAAGAATAAGACAAAGTAAAGAAAAGGATGACAACTTAGAAAAAGCTTTGAGAAAAATAGAAGTTTTAGAAAATATTGTGGCATGACAGAAATATTTGGCAGACAAGCAGCTTCAAGAACTACCAGTTTTACCAAAGAAAGAAAACAAATTTAAGCTCCTAACTAACAAAGTAAAGAACAAAGTTAGCCAAGTAAAAGAAACAACTTGAGAAAAATTTGAAACCTATATCTTGCAAAAGAATAAATAGCATGAAATTAGAATACCAAGTTAATGAGCTGAGGAGAGGAGATAAATGGCATTGTAATTTCTGTCCTTTTGAAAGAGAAAGGAGTTTAACTGCTACTTACAAAATAGTATCTTACAATACAAGCAATAATGATTACAATGACATTGCTTATATTTGTGTTGAGTGTAAAAAAGCTCTTGATGATAATACTTTGCCACATTGTAATGATTGTGGTAGAATTATGAGAAACAGGATAGATTGTTTTTGTGATTTAAGGAAAGATGAACCAGTCAAAACCCCAACCATAACAGAAATAATGGCACAGAGTTATGTTGGCAGATTGGAACAGCAGAATAAAGACTTAAAACAGCAACTATCCAGTGCTAAGGAAGAAATCAGTTCTCATTTGGAAGCCTTAGAAGTTTCAAAGGATTGACATAATAAGCAAAAGCAAGAATTATTAGATAAAATTCAAAGACTTGAAAGTGAAGTTGAACAGTTAAAGAAACAGCAGACTCAACTAACTGCACAAATTGAAGTTAAAGAAACTAAAAAATGACCTTGATTGAAAATAAAAGGTAATTAAAAATTAACAAAGTTGAAAAAAAAAGTAATTATTTGTTTAGTTTTTTATTCTGCCAGTTTTCTTTTTTTTCTTGATTCTTACTAGTACTCTTTTGAAAACTCCTTCCTCTTGATAAATTTCATAGGTAATCCTTTCTTTGTCTAAATATGCTTGCAAAGATTTGGTATCTGCTAATTTTAAAATGTAAGGGGCAATTTTTTCACCTTGTTCTTTTTTCAAAATACTTCTAATGGTGCTATAATTATTGGGTTCCATAGTAGATTAGATGCAAATGAGTTTCATATTAACTATTTTTGTCTAGACAAATATCATTGAATACATTACATTGCAATACAATTATGATGTTAAACAAACATTCTTGATCCCTGAGTTTTTGGTAATACCAATGTTCACTTTGTCTGGTTTTGTTGCAGTATGCCCCAATTTTGTTTTTGTAAAAGATCTTCAAGCCAATAAAATTTGATTTTGTGTGATTTTTTGGAGGGTGATCGTTGTAAAATTTAGCCAATGAAATCAAAGTCACAATGTGATAAACAAATGTCCATTATGCTGATAGCTTTACTGCTAATCCTTTGAATAAACTGACCAAGTACCCTTGCTGCAGTTGGTGTAATCTTCCTTTTTCTTCCATTTCCTTTTCTGTTAGCAAAGTTCCTGTTTCTTTCCACTTTTTAATATTATATTTGATAGTAGAGAATGGAATGTTAGTTAGTTTATGAAGTTCTTGTGCATTATACACACCTTCATTCAGCAAATGTAATATAGTTTGATGATGTCATTGTTTTAAACTTTAACATATATAAGAACAATTATTAGAAACAAAAAAATATACTAGTTGAAAGAGAAAAGGGAATAATTTTATATATTGTAAATAATATTATATTCATTTGTTTACACACATAAAAAGTTGTGTTTTATATCATGTCTAAATTTGGCCAATATTTTTGTAACACACTGTATACAGTGCGGATCAGCATAGTGGACATTCGTTTTATCACATGTGACAAAATCGATCGTTGATCTTTTTTATGTTGTGAAACATATGAC